ATATGGGGTGTGTGGTTGGAGCTGTGGGTGGTGCAGCGCAAGCCATCCATGGTCCCTCTGTAGGCGCAGGCGTCCTGTGGCTTGCCACAGTGACAGGCAAATCCGAAACCGGATGCCGCCAACCATGTATGTATGTGTGCCCCATGCTGAGGCTGATGTTGCATTCTTGATGCTTCTTCACCGCAGTTGGGCTAAACCAACTTACACTTAAACTAGGTCTTTTTAAGCTGGATAAATTTCATTCCGCTTTATTTGGTTTGTTCTGCCTCCCTGAATAATGTTCTATTAACTGGCCACGTTGCTTACACTAATTGCGCTTATCTTCGGTAATTTTGTTGCGTTTTGTAGCATTTTTAAGTAACTTGTGGACATTTCTTACTTATCACGGATTTGTTGTTACGCACTTACTTCATATGGTAAATTAGCGAAGAGTTATGCCACCGTATCTGTATGCATTGTTGGATTTATTTTATTTCAACTTGTCGTTTAAAGTGAATGGCTGTTGTTTGATATCCCCGGTGTGGTTGCGCTTGATGTGTATGTTGACAAGGTGCCTACCTGTCTATTACCCACTACATCGTTCATACTGGCTCCAGGAGACAGTTGGTCGTTGCTGGAGGGGACGGGGTGCACGGTTCTTGTGGCCGTGCTAGGCTCAAAGAGCGGTTCCATGCACTCAGTGTGGAGCGGACTACGGTCCAGCCACCGCCTTGTGTGCGGTTGATTCCCCAAATACAGCGTGCTTGTGTTTGCCTGTGAAGGAGTGTGGGCCGGCTCCGTTGATGAAACGTGGTTCCCATCCGCATGCCTCCCGGTCTTATTCCTTCGGGTTTACACTGGATATGGGGTATGTGGTTGGAGCTGTGGGTGGTGCAGCGCAAGCCATCCATGGTCCCTCTGTAGGCGCAGGCGTCCTGTGGCTTGCCACAGTGACAGGCAAATCCGAAACCGGATGCCGCCAACCATGTTTGCCCCATGCTGAGGCTGATGTTGCATTCTTGATGCTTCTTCACCGCAGTTGGGCTAAACCAACTTACACTTAAACTAGGTCTTTTTAAGCTGGCATAAATTTCATTCCGCTTTATTTGGTTTGTTCTGCCTCCCTGAATAATGTTCTATTAACTGGCCACGTTGCTTACACTAATTGCGCTTATCTTCGGTAATTTTGTTGCGTTTGTAGCATTTTAAGTAACTTGTGGACATTTCTTACTTATCACGGATTTGTTGCTAACCAACTTACTTCATATGGTAATTTAGCGAAGAGTTATGCCACCGTATCTGTATGCATTATTGGATTTATTTTATTTCAGCTTGTCGTTTAAAGTGATGGCTGTTGTTTGATATCCCTGGTATGGTTGCGCTTGATGTGTATGTTGACAAGGTGCCTACCTGTCTATTACCCACTACATCGTTCATACTGGCTCCAGGAGACAGTTGGTCGTTGCTGGAGGGGACGGGGTGCACGGTCCTTGTGGCCGTGCTAGGCTCAAAGAGCGGTTCCATGCACTCAGTGTGGAGCGGACTACGGTCCAGCCACCGCCTTGTGTGCGCTTAATTCCCAAATACAGCGTGCTTGTGTTTGCCTGTGTAAGACTGTGGGCGGGCTCCTTTGATGAAATGTGGCTCCCATCCTCATGCCTCCCGGTCTTATTCCTTCGGGTTTACACTGGATATGGGGTATGTGGTTGGAGCTGTGGGGGGTGTAGCGCAAGTCACGCATGGTCCCTCTGTAGGTGCAGGCGTCCTGTGGCTGGCCACAGTGACAGGCGAATCCGAAACCGGATGCCGCCAACCATGTTTGGTCGCACCCTTCACCCAATAAATACTATTGCCACTTACTTGTGGATTTTTGTGAGTAGTGTAAGTTTCGTAGATTTATTGTTAAAGGCACTGATGAGACAGAATGAAATGCGTGCATTTGCCAGTGTTCGTTTTCTTACTGCGCTTTCCAAATTACTGAAGGGAACTAACTGTTTCAAATTTTGTTTCAGTTGATAATGACATGCCTTTGCTTTTCATGAGGAATGCCTCCACAATTGTAAATCTGAAAGCAAGCATTTCCTTATATTTCCGCAAAGGCACGGCCAGCGAGTCACCAACACCTTGGTGGAGTAATCAGCAGCTGACTAATCCTATGTCGAGAAAATTGAAACAACCTGTGCTAGTATTCGAGGTACTTGATGTAGATCCGATAATAAGCAATCAGAACATCAACGCCGCCCATGAACAAATTTTACAGGATGATGTTTCCACTAGTACGGATGTCAGGTACACGAGGAACAGGATCAATATTCCCCATGAATATATCAACTAAATGCACAAGTATTTTTGTATCCGGAAGCACACTGCTTTTGTTTCCCTTTTTGTATGTCTTTTTGGGAAAATATTGTTTCAGGCTGAACCTCCGCTTGAATGGGACCACTTACTCGTCAACTGATAAAAATCGGTCTTCATACAGACTCTGAAACTGAAATCTATGCACAGAAATTCCATTTATAGGACGATTAACCTCAAACCTTATCTTTCGTTTGCTACCAATAATTCCGAAGGTAGCGGAAAACACACATGCCATCCTGTTGCTATTAACTTCTAACGTTTCCATCTCAGGTAAGTCATACTAGTAAATTATTTGTAGCAATGAACAATAAGTGTGTACCCAATGTTTGATTCGGTGTCTGCACCACTGTCGCACCAACCGATGCGTAGTATCCGTCGCAGACACTGTTGATTAAATGGCTCCACATCTCGTACATCCTTCCGGTACATCATCAAGGATTCCTTGCATTGTAAAAGAATGAACCGCACCGTAGACTTGTATTTCATCAGGTTCTTTCAAACGGTAAGGTGGTGATTGCTCCACACAAGCTATTTCCACTTTCCAAATGCAGCTGCGGCTTGTGATAGCGGACACGTTTCTCGTCCACCGTCTGCAGATCGGTCGGAAGTAGACTACCCAAGGTAGCAAAAACCCTAAGTGGTTTCAAAGACGCCATCGCCGATATGGATTTGAGGAACATACAAATCCTCTGTTTAGTGTATGCAGAAAAAGTCAACCTGTTTTGGTTGTATGGGCAGTGAGTCCCAATTTGGCTGCTGTCGAATCCAGAACCAAAATAAGGAGCTACAAATCATCCGCGCCACTCGCAGACAACGTAGAGTCGTCGGCATGCGACAACATACGAATCTTTGTCTCAAGCACTAGGGTTCTCGCTGCGAAACGGCGGATATTTAGTAACACAGTTAGTAAGGATATCTACACGGACACCGTAAGCACACGTAGTATCAAAAACACAAGACTTCATGATATTTAGATAAATATAAAACATGGTAGGGACTGAGATACAACCACGTTTCACTCCAGTACCAAAGGCAAATTCACTCCAGATTTGCCCACACAGCTGCAACTACGTCAGCGTACCTCCATGCAGAGGTTAATTGAACTTATAAATGACTCACATGGCCAAACTTCCCAACAATAGCCACAGAGCCTCGTGGTTCGCCGTATCAAATGGCTGTTGTCTTATTCTGCATTTCTCCTGAAACTGCTTAGCCGCGAACACCATTTTCATGGTGTTGCCAAAGGCTCCAGGAGGAGAAGTTAAGGTCCACATGGGCAAAGCTGCCTCATGGTTGTTACGTTAATCAATTCAGCTTTCAACAGTCTTTTCATCTCACGAACATTTCAACTTGTGCCCATCTGCTGCGATCCAGTCAGTTCACGAATGAACTGTTAATGTTTGTAAGAACTGATTGCACTTTTGAACATAGGGCAGCTTTTCAATGACGACCATTCATAATCCATTGTCAGGTTATAGTAGCACCATGTTCTCGTTTCGGCGCAGGCTCAACAGCAATTCCCACTGATCCTGTGTTTTCTGCATTTTTGATTTCAACAAGCAAATATTGGTAAGCTAAATCAACCCCATTCGTCTTGGGTGGCTGCGACCTCGCTGCAAGTTTCCGATTTGTACTCCAATTCATATTCTGTCGCATTTCTTTGGTGACAATGAAAAAGTGAGTCCCAGTTATTGCGCTTCAAGTTGAGATCGGATTATTGAGACAGTGCACAAGTTAAACACATATTTCTCAGACTGCATCGCTATGGGTTCGCTGAAGCACCCAGGTGATATGGCGCTCAAAAGCTGTCGTTTTTTTGTCAATCCTGTGTTTGACAGTAACAGCCTGACGAAGTTGAAACATTATACAGCACAAAAAATTTTAACTACTCAGGATCTGGTGGACATATTTGACCCTGGCTTTCAATTCAACAATACGTTGCATATGCGCTTTAATGTTGTATCTAGTTAAACGTCGCAAATTCCGAGAGCTCACAGGGAAGTTGTCATTTTTACGTGTCATTAACAATTGATGTGGGTAACAAGATGTCCGGAGACTTTCAGCATCAAATTTCACAAGAGTAGACTCACGTGAGATGCCACGGAGTAAATCCGCCAGATAAAACTTATTGACATAATCAGATGGGAATCCGAATATCTTTCAAATAAACGGCAAACGATGCCTTTAAAACCCATAGCACTTTTAACTAACTCCTTTTCAGTCGGGAAACCCGGCGGTTCTCTCTTTTGCTTGTAACTGTATTGGTGTGCTACCCACACACAATACCTTTTAACACGCCAGCCACGTTTTACTCAAGAAAAGATTAGAATGGATAGATATGAATAAATAATGGTATGTTTCTAACCTGTTACTAAATGCTGTGCCCACGAGGGATCAGCTAAACATGAGTAAACCGGCTGCTTTTCACGGTTAAATATACGATGTGATAACTTACTGGTGCTTAATTGTGAAGCAAGTCGGTTAGATATGTTGACTTGTAGTGGATACGAGTACGACCATGTGCGAATTCGGTTTACAGCTAGGAACCTGTCTCGCGCATGCATTACGGGACGGAATCCAGAAGACTAAAATTATCCGCTGCAAATGACCAATCATATTAGAGGCTAGACCAACGTTCTATTGGTCAACAACTAGTGTCCTTCATTGTAAAGGAGTGCAAGCACCAGACAACTTAATCGGCATCGAACTTGTCATTCGATAGAAACAAGTCAGTTGTTTCTATAATGTCGAAGTCTTAAAGTGTGTAGACATTGTGACACGCTGTCTCCGTTACTTTTCTATTGGATGAAAACATGTACAGTACCTAAATGTGGAGATACATTGTTTTTGGCTGTGCAACTATTCTCCACTTGGATTTCAGCGCTGGTAAAAAGAAAACGGACACAACTTAGAAACATTCTACTCGTGCTTTTTCACGTGCCTCTGGATGAGGTCTGTCTTTACTTTTATCAGTCATTCAGTATGATTTATATGCCGTCAATGATGAAGCCGGCTGGGGATACTCTCAGCCAGTCAAACTTGTGCATTATGTCCAGGGCGTTAGTTAACGACTCGCAGAAATATTCGGCCTCAAGAGCAGTAAACACACCAGCCGCTATAAATGTTGTGCTAACGACCAAGCAGTCGCATGATGATGGTCACTATCTACCTTATAGATCCCCACCTCATCGTCACTACCCCGAAAGTCGACCGTCAAATTTGGTGCCTGTGACGAACGGGACACTTCAATCTAATAGGCTAAGTTCATCAGCAAATGAGAACCATTCTTTTGTCAATTCTAAACTGGGTGTCGCTCTCGATCGAACTATTTCACTGTACAGTTTACAACCAGAACTGCACAACTACCTTACTGCTCCAGAATATGAAGCCAGTGTGACAACCGGGGAGCGCAGTTGTTTCGCCGGTATGGGCATGACCATGGGTTGTGCGAAAGATTCAACAAGCTTTCCACTTTTAGCGCCCAAGGCACACTCACTGCCTCAAATTACCTTACCCACTGCGCCTCAAAGCAGGATTCTTTTTCCCTGTGAGTCCTTCTCTGTGTGGTGCAGCCACAAGGGAATACCTCCAAGGAACCAGGATTTGACATACGTCCATCCTTCGAGTGGGTTAGAGAGACAAATGTTTAACCATCGACTAAGATACTTTCCTTGCATTCACCATAATATTATCACACAGATCAAAGCTGAAAGGAACAAGGAGAAAAGAGCTTCATTTTGCGAGCTGCTTAACAGAAACCCAATTGAAGGACTGTTTCCATTTATAGGTGGAGGTGCTGGCCCTATCATTAAAGATAGACCGACGGTGCTGGTTGATGGAAAGGCCAAGCGAAGCAGTACCGAGCGTAGAACGATGGGAATGAAAACGCAAGACTGGATTAAACAGTCAAGGCTTCGTATAGCTAGAACGAGAACAAAATTCCTGCGAGGTTTTAGAGGTGATGCAGCAGCCTTAAGGCTGTCGAGCGAAAAGTTGGATCACACAAGCTCATGGGAGCAAAACCCAAGTGCCATTCTCCGTGATGAAAGAAGTGCCACGACATCGAACGAAGACGCATCGAGTCGCTCCCTTACGTGCTATTCTCTCCTTTCACGTAACCAGCGGGTAGTAATAAATGTGAGTGGATTAAAATTCGAAACGTGGCTTGGCGTGCTCGAAAGACATCCAACTACGAAGCTTGGCAATGAAGAGAAGCGTCAGCCTTTCTGGGATGAGCACCGAAACGAGTATTTTTTCGATCGTCATCGACCCAGTTTTGAAGCCATTTTCAACTATTATCAGTACGGTGGGTGCATAAAAAGACCGACAGTAGTGACAGATGATATTTTCTTACGCGAGTTGGAATTTTTTGAGATCGAGGAGCAAGCTGTACAGAATTATAAAAAGAACGAGGGCTATGTACCAGAAGTGATTATTTTACCAGTGGAAGCTTGGAAGAGAAAGCTGTGGCTTCTTTTTGAGTATCCCGAAGCATCAATCCTTGCTTTTTGCTTTTCGGTGACATCACTTCTATTCACTATTACATCAATCATTCTTTTCTGTGTAGAAACCCTTCCTGTTTACGCGCAGACACACTGTGAACCCGGCGATAAACCCAACTTTCTTGACCCATTTTTTATCATAGAAACAATCTGCACCTTCTGGTTCACTTTGGAATTAATCGTGCGATTTGTGAGCTGCCCTAGCCGGACCTCCTTCGTGAAGGATCTAAAAAATCTGGTTGATTTAGCGGCTATTGTCCCATATTATATCACTTTGATTAATGTATTAATTTCATTCAGTTGCGAAGGTGCAAAAAATAGCGCCAGTTTAGCTTTTCTTCGGGTTATTCGGCTAATCCGTGTCTTCAAACTGACGAAGCATTCCTCCGGACTGCAAGTGCTCGTGCTGACTTTCAAGGAAAGTGTTGAAGGGTTAGGATTATTTCTGGTGGCATTTATTGTGTGCATTCTGCTATTTTCAAGTACAATTTATTATGTTGAAGTTGATCGCAAAGGTAGTCAGATTGAAAGCATTCCGGACGCTTTTTGGTGGGCAGTGATCACAATGTGTACTGTGGGATACGGGGACAAGGTGCCCAAAGGACCTCTTGGAAAAATTGTCGGAGGAGTTTGCGCCGTTGCTGGTGTGTTAACCCTAGCCATTCCAGTTCCCATAATCACTGAGAACTTCAACAAATTCTATGCACACAAAACTGGACGTGGCATGAGATAGTAAGACACATTGTAGATCCTACCTTCTGTTTTCTTCACGAGCGAATTATCACTCAATTAGCTGGTGAGTTAAATGACCTCTGTGGCAACCGATTTTTGACAGATAATTATAACTAGTATTTCTATATTTGCTTCGCTATTTTTGTAGACGATGTCTGATCAATTACAATTGGGTTTCTTGAAGCTGATCACTTTTGTTGGCTTTCTTTGCATCAATAATAGAATCCAGCATGCGGTTTAGGTAGCCTAAATATGTTTTGGTTCTTTCTCAAAAAATTATTCCTCTCTAACCGACATTGATGGATAGGTCGTCTTATTGCACTTTCTTGGATATTATTCATTAAAACGCAAAGTAGCTTGATTCGTTAGCATGGTTATCATGACTAGCTACCAGATCAAATTCCAAGCAATTCACCGAATTTCAGACACAAAGGGTGAAAGCATCACACAATGGCAATGAGATATTTCTGTGTAACCAACTGTTACCGTGTCCCACTGAATCTGGAAGATCCGAAACCAGTCTAGCTACAATTGAGTTCGAAGCTCTTAAGGAATGGTAAGAATCACAAATGCAGTTTCCACCTTAAAATGGTACTACAATGATGCCATTGCCTGTCAACTAGAAGACGCTCACAGTTCAGTTGTAATTGGTCTGTTTAATCAAACACAATCCATGCAACAGAGTGAGAGAATCCCGCTTTCTTGTGGGTACAGACAGAACACGGCCCTTAGTTATCAAGAGTGAATAAATAAAAACCACTCATACGTATCACAGAACAAATTACAAAACTGCCCTACAGAGATCGGATGGAAGAGCTCTAGATGAACGGGCAAATTTAAGAGGACTAATGACTTCGTGTATACATGATCCATGATATGACCAATGTAGAGCACGTCAGCTGGACGCTAGGAGACGCAAAAGCCGTAGATGACAACTCTGTAAATGGCTTCATTCTTTTGGAAAATATTTAGTGGGCAGCCCCGGGGTTTCCAACGACCAGTTGCAGTGGAGACCCCGTAGGTACATCAGGTAATTATAGGCTAGTACTTGCTTTAATGGATCAAACCGACCCAACGTTTCAGATCTATGCTACAATGACGCAAGAGAATTTGGTTCAAACACCGGTTGGTCGCTCAAAACACACCTGGTGATAGCGCAGCACAACAAAACGAAATAACTAACATTCTACTCGGTGCGAATTGCAGTTCATCATTGAATGCCTTACTATGTATCGACAAGTCGATCTTCACCTGTCTCCAAAATCAACTTAGTCCTCGGAAATTAATCCAAGAGCACAACTAAATCCGCGAAATGAGAGGTGCGGTACCTACCATACAAAAGAAAGGGTTCTTTCAAGTACTCCGTTTAGGTGTGACATTACTGTATTGAAGAGTAAGAGAAGTTTGACTACTACTACGCAGAGCACTCTGTTGCTGAAGTTGCAAACATCGACCGAATTCATAAGCTGCCGCTGTCTCCACTGAAGGAAACTCAGACTATGGGGGCCAACTCCACTTCCGTATTCAGGTACGTATGTAACTGCGGTGTGAGGCTACGTGTTTACGCAAGCGGACAGCATCTTCGATCAGCAGACAATTGTTGAGCTCGGTCATCCGATTGAGTTCAACAAGTTTGTGGATGAGATAACTCCTTCGTGTGCTCGTACTATATCGCACAGAACGAATGGACTGATGTTTCCATAGCGCCTTTCGACAACAGTAAAAGTCCCCAATATAGGTGATTTATTCTTTTCGATATCAACAGATTGTGTACGATCATAGTGATTACGAAGAACAGGAATTTCTTGCGCTAAATTAACCTAGATTACATAAATAAAAAACAACCACAATTCGGGCTGAGTTATTTACTATCCTATGCTTTTGTACGGACGCTTAAGTAGGTATATCGGAGAATGGCTCAGCTTACCAACTTCTCTGCTTTTAACTGAATAAACTTCTACTATATATGGTCCCGCATTCATTTGTTTGGAATGACATATACCTTCAGTGCTTCCATATCATCGTTTAACTTTCCCGGTCATTTAAAGGAATAAAAGCTAACGCAACTTCGGGGGACCACAGACACTGAGCTGAGTTAATACGTGTGGGAGAATCTTACATCGAAATACGCGAAACGATGCGACAGGATATTAGTTCTACAATGATCATTGCTGGGCTGATATTGTAGATGGCACACGGACATGGTCGTCGTTTTCAGCATACGAGGAACAATGATTTATCACGAGTGAAAAGCAAATGTTTCACAAGTCCCGTTGGATGGTCGGAGTAAAAATAACAATTTAAAGGATCTTCGAATAAGTAAACTGTTATTTTAAGCGTCTACAGCTTTAAATGTACTACAGTATAACGATAGTTTGAGGTGGGAATTAGATGTGCACACAAAATAGTATAAAGCGTTTTTATAGCTCAGTAAATGCTTAAGAAAGAAAAAAGGAAACGACAACGCTCATCCGTGTGTTGCTTCATTTGACAGATGTAATATGTTAATCCAGTTTATATACATCCAGGCTACTCACATGGACACTTCTGCATGTAGCCCCACCGCCACGTTGCGGAGAGGGCCGTTAAGAACATGATTAGGCTTGCGTTGTTTCTTCCCCCATATGGAACGGACTATGTCAAATAATTCAAGTTGGAAAGCGTGTCATCCATACGTATTTTTGAAAAGCGTTAATGTAGGGACAAGGATAAGGTGAGTCGAAAAGACATTTCAGGCACGGGACACACGGGGAGAAAATGTTTCGCCAACAAACGAGTCGACTGTAGTGCGTAGTCAGTTTGAGCTGTTGGCCTCTCAGGTTGGTATTTTGGCTCAGCTGCAACTGATTGAGACATGGGTGAGTTGAGTTAGGCTCGTCAGTAATAAGTAAACCATGATGAGGTCTCTTTGCTGACGTCGATATTCTCCACTGTACCATCTCAGGGACTGCAGTTTGCGTTGGTAGAAGAGATGAAGCAATCCTCTAACGTGTTTGGTCGCTCTACCTTGTGGAGCTACAAGTGCACCGACGTCGCGTTTTCGTCAGGGAGGCTAGGTCTGGATCATAGATTCCACTTGAGGCCTCACGAAGGCTTTCAGCATTTTCGGAAAGATTGATGGCACAAAATTCCCGAAAGCTCTCTGTAAGAGTGCAACATATTGACAAGCTCTTTTTGGTGCCTTTTCAGCCTGTCTCGAGCAACCAAAATCATACTAAATGATTACCCCGAGGTCGTTATCTTGGGAACCACGTTGTAACAGCACAAAGTCAAACTCCGCATAGTTAGAGTAAGTCTTTCCATTACACCTGTTTACTCGATAGACGGATATTACATGCTTTCATTTGGATTGGGTACTATTCGATCCTAATTAAGTCAACAAGATGTTGTAAAAATTTACTGTCAGGATTATTGGCTGGGAATCTTGGTCTAATACCTGAACCAGAAACCGGGGCTTAGTGGTAGAGGTTAGCCGACTGCCTGTAAGGTTCCAGCTACAATTAAACTGATTTTGAAATGAGGCTGTTAGTCAGTAATGATGAAGGCACCTCGATTAAGATAAATTCCATGGCATACAACTGCATTAGACTTGAATATTAGTAAGGCTGAATACCGCCTTATTTGATGTCACAAATCAACAAATATTTCAATCAGAAAGGCAAAAATGTGCTCATATTCTTTGTGGGGGTTTCCGCATAGGCAACCGCGGGGTATAATGGTAGAGGCTGCAGCTGGGAATAATAATTTTTGTCCATTTTATTCTTCAGTTCTTACGAAAGAATTTCAAGCTTGTACAGAACTACCCTCGGTCAACTATGAACACTAAAACGTTCACGTACTTGGCCATTGTCTCCATTAGGAACGGACCTAGTCGATGGACCAAATTTTGTTTGAGGTTATTGGTAGTTTTCGCGCCACATGTGTTTTGCAAATTTTGTGCACAAGCATTGCAACAATTAACAAATGCCAACACGTACAACTGCACTCCAAAAGTTTTGGTTATTTTTCTTGTTCTATGAAACGTCCTATTGAACCACTGTTCGCAGATGTGGTGGTTTAAACAACTAACCTCTGGCAGGGGTCCGAACAAGGAACGACTGCCCCGGATGGTATAAGCAGTGGCTACACAACTGCTGCTACTCTATAGGTGTTGTTGCCGGAAATATTTCCTTTGAGATTGTGGTAAACGTAAGTTGTGCATTCCGTAGGTGCCTCGGAGAGTTCGCACTGATCACCATGCCGCGCCGCAAATCGGCGTCCATTCATGCGCGCTGGTTTTACGTGCCAGGCACTTGATCAGCGACCACAACCTCGACCCATGGCCGTCAAGCCTGCTAAGCCCTTATCAAAATTATTAACCACCGGCTCACCAAACGCTAACAGATACGCGAGAAATCATAATTGCACACCAAGCATCCGTATTTAGGTATGAATCCATTTCTCAAGTTCGCCCTTTGTTTGTACTACAACGCGGCAGCGAAGCCGGTTATGCGATGCGACCACGCGCACTGTTTGCCCTGAGCGCCCCAGCGTTCCCCCGAATGCAGAACTGGTTATTCCTAGCATCGTATAAAGTGCACTCTGACCTGACCTCACAATAACGTGAGCATAACACTCGTTCACTTACCGGTGGCTTACCGACCGCGCATGAAGTTGCATAGCAATGATTTTGGTGCATCAAGCCCTTGTGGATGTGTTGATGCCTTTCGATAACTCTCAGCAATTCGGCAATTCACGTTCCAGGCGTCCTAGTTTTCGAAATTCTGAAACCTTATTTGCATAGTCTACTGCTGTTCATGAACGAGTAACGCGCGACGCACACCAATACGACGTAAATGATACACTACAAATATCACTCGCACATGTCTCATTGGAAGCCAGTCCCATGTCATTGTCTAGTGCTGGAGATCAGACATCGCTGCAACCCCTGTACGAATGTATAACCATACCTACGTGCATACATATTTCCCCGAGACTGTGAATTTCCTTATATAACTACTCGCTCCTAATGGTATACGCTATACAACCAGACGTCTAAAGTGATGAGCCAGAAGTGTAATCATAGCACGTCAATTATCTTCAAAAAATCAGAAAAATGCACACGGATGTGTCGACTTGCATTACCACATCCCGCAACACTGATTTCACTGGTTGCTGTTTTGGTAATGCGTTCCAGAAATTGCAACC